GTCCCCCCTGAGCCTTCTCTTCTCCAGAAGAAGGGGTCCTGCCCAGTGTGGCTGTGAGGAGCTGAAGCATATCCCTGTGAGTGGTCCTGGGGAGCCTGGGAAAGGTGTGATAGAAGTAACCAGTTCCGCTGTCGCTGCAAGAGGACACTGGTCGTGTGGGACAGGGACTGTTGTGACAGGAGATTCCCGTGTGACACCAGGAGTGGTGCAGCGTGATGCATGACTGAGCAGGAGCTCAGGGGAAAAAAGCTACAGGAACGATGCCAATCCTGTCATTTTATAAGTTTTCACTCATCTCTATCCGCTTGCTACTGGATTTGGGAATTCACCCTCCAGTTCAGAAATGCTGGCAGCACACTGATGACTGATTAAGCCTGCCTTAATACCCACACGGTGCTGGCAGAAGAGCCTGTAATTTTCTTACCTGCTTATCCAGTCTGTGAAGTCCCAAATTCCACTCCTCCTGAATTGCTCCGACATTCACATGGGCAGACATGCTGATCAATGCACTTAGCTGCAGAGAAGTTAATGAAAACTCCGGGCTGTCTGGGATCAGTTGGGAGAGTTTCTCAGAAAAGGCTGTTGTTTGACCAGTTATGAGAATCCTGCTTAGCTGGGATGCTTCAGTTTCCAATTGCACACAGGAAATAAATGTTAAAGCAAATTAAATGCTGTGTTTTGCAATGAAGCTGTATAGTTCTGTATTTTAGTTTTAGTTTGGTTAGGTTTCATCTGAAGTAGTTTTCTACTTGCTATGCAGGATAAAGACACGAGAGAAACCTGTGCTTTCTAATCCTAGGAAGAGAAATTAAATGTCTGAACTGTGCTGCAGGCTGTAGTGCTGGTTCTTGTAAGGGCAGTCTCCTCAGCCAGGAGAAGGAGGGATACAGGACATGATAAATACGTAAATAATAAATATGAGTCTTAGTCCATGGGATTATTTGTCATTTGTAACACTTGGTTCTTGACAGAATCCTGCTACAGTATGTCAGGAGACAGTGACTGCACCAGGACAAGTCCATCAGCGGGGTCTCCATCAGACGAGTTCTTGCCAGATCGGCCGAAGTATGTTTGCTCGTTGTCTCCTGATCTCATTACCAAAGCCCGGGAAGAGCTCCAAGAGAAACCTGAATGGAGGCTCCGTGATGTGCAGGCGCTCCGAGATATGGTGTGCAAAGACTATCCCTCCCTCGGGACCTGCCTGGACGATGCTTTTTTGCTAAGGTTCCTCAGAGCCAGGAAGTTTGATTACGATCGAGCTCTACAGCTTCTGGTGAACTACCACACCTGCAGGAGGAGCTGGCCTGAGGTCTTCAATAACTTGAAGCCATCTGCAGTAAAGCCTGTCCTCGAGTCAGGCTTTGTCACTGTGCTGCCTCAGCTGGACCCCGAGGGACGCCACATCGTCTGCATCCGCCCAGGTACTGAAATGCATGAATGTCTCTGTTCTTCAAGGTGTGCCTGGCCCAAAAATGCGTTCCCTGCTCTCCTGTGGTTATTTAGACAGAGGAGGTGGGTTCTCGGTGGAATTTGAAAAGCTAACTTGTGAAGGGACACGTCTGTCGTTAGCCAGCGTTACACTGGTTCCTTTTCCTGTGTCAGCAATAACTGCAGTTGTGTCAAAATGAAAATGCGGTGAGGTGTGTTGATGAAATATTAGGCAATTCAAGAGAAATTAAAGTAGTAATTCAAACTGAAACAGGGCTGCTGGCCTGCCACTAGAAGCTTGTAATTTGTGTGACAGTAAGTGGAGAGAGGAGTCTGTGGCTTTGACTCCCGTGTAAATAATCAGAGCTTTCCATGTGCTTTTGGTGCTGCCAGGCTTGCTGTAAATTTGTCTTCATTCATTCTCCTCTTTTCCATTTACCTGCTTTCTTTCTGAGCTGAAACTGCTTCTAATAAGCTGTGCTGGGTGGACAATGGGGTTCTTAAAACCATGGCCTTTGCTCCCTGAAGTAAACATGAGTTGCCATTTATCTCTTGCTTAAGAAAGGCTGCTCTGAACTAAGACTGTGGCTTTTAAAGACTAACTTTAAAAAGTTAGAGTCCAGGAAAATGGAAAATCAGGTTTTGGGATGTTTATTGTTAGCTTATATTTACTCTCCGACTTACCATCCATGTCTTGTAACCTCAGACAGATGGACACCCAGTAATTATCCGATTACTGAGAACATTCGTGCCATATACTTAACGTTAGAAAAACTCATTCAGTCCGAAGAGACCCAGGTGAATGGAATTGTAATCCTGGCAGACTACAAAGGAGTCAGCTTATCTAAGGCGTCTCATTTTGGTCCTTTTGTAGCCAAAAAAGTGATTGGAATTCTTCAGGTAAGACCTGAACTGGTGGGAAAATAAGCTTGTGCATTGTAAATGACTGCTTCTGTGTCTAGAGCTCTTGACTGTCACCAGAAACTTAAGGATCTTTGCTTTTACTAGCAGAGTTAAAACATGTCTCTGCCCAACCAGTTTCTCACGCCCTTGCCAACTTACCTCACTTGCCCTTTTTTGACTTCTACATCCCTAAAACTAAATTGGCATTAGAAATGTAAACTTTGAGTTGGAACAGGAAGAAGCAGTTCTGCTAGGCTGTGGCAAGGAAGAGAAAGAGAGCACTGACTTACAGCCAGAGAGAAGACACTGTCTTGCCTAAATGCCAAGGAATGGCTTGTTATTTAAATGGTTCCTGTCAGTGAGATGGAGCTGACCACTGGGCAAGTGCAAGTTGAAGAACAGCTGCAAAGATTTTGGCAGAGAGGACTTTCGAGTGGGTGTGATTTGAGGTGGATTTCCATCCACTTCCTGAAGGGGCAGCAAAAGAGACAGGAATAAAAGGTCTCTGATAGATGTTGGGAAGGAAAATGATGGTTGGAGCAAGGGTGTAACATAAGTGGAGTCATACAAAGTAGAAAGGTGAAAGGAGCAAGGAGTAACCTGGCCAAAGTGGCAAGGAGCTCTGATGATTTTACTTGATGTTCTGCCATACTACCTGGAGGAGTAAGATAAAGAAAACTTCTCTTTAATGGGTTAATTCCCTCATTACTTTGATTCTGGCCTGAGCTGGTTACGATCTTTGTTGTATCTGGGGGGAATAAGGAAGGATAGGAGGAATCAGGGAAGGTTATGGAGATGGAACTAGTGAGTTTATGAATGCCTATGTAAGAACTCCTTTAAATTACGATCTAAATGTGTCATTTAACTGTCTGAGCCCATATTCAATTTGTACAAATGAAGGGATGGGTGTCCTGCTGTTATTAGTGAAAGCTATTCACAAAACAAAAGCTGAACCTGGTGAAGGACATAAAGGTGGTATATAAACATGTTGCATCAACCTTGCTGAGCTGCATATCTTGTAAAGATGAGCTAATTTACTGACCTTCATAAAGGAGAAAAACACTCCTGCAGTGCATGTTACCTGCTTTTCACTCCAAGCACTGACTGCTTGCTTTGTATATGTAGAGCCGGTTAGGAGGGAAAGAAACTCACTGTGGCATGAAACCTTAATTGCTGGTCATGAGCTTTTGCCTCAGAAAAATGTTTCTGCAATTATATTTCTCCAGCAGATACACCATAACTAAAACTAACTTGTTTTAAACTGTCTTGTGTAAGAGACACTGTGTTCTGTTGGCAGCAGAGCCCGTTTGTCTTTGCAGTTAGCATGACAGAACAGTTGGAATGGCAGAAAAATAGTGATACTAGATTTCTTCCTTATGTAAAAAAACATTTTAGAGTACCTTGGGCACTGAATCTTGTAGCTGGACACGCTGTTAGAATCAGCCTGCTCTGGCTCTGAGTGTGGCACACTCCTCAGAAGCCAGGGTCATCACTTCCTAACTGCACCCCCCTATCAGGGGTTGGGAATACAGTGATCACCTAAGTGTCTTTGCCAGGGGAGATGAAGTACAACATAAGAAATCAGGATTTACTGCAGCAGTACACTTCTCAATACAAGGTTTTCTTGTCTCTTGACTTTATGCTCTCAGATCTCATCTTAAAACTATTCTCTATTATAAGGTACATTTCTGTTGCTGTATTCATTATGTTTTAAACTTCAGAGAGAGGTTCACCAACATAAACCTCTCTGAGGTTTCAAACTCCTTCTGCAAGTTTGGGAGCTAGTGGGTTATGCTGTCAGTCAGTCTCTGGAGGTTTTAAAAAGAGGAAGATGGCAAATGTCTTTCAAAGTGCATTATAAAAATCTTCTTTACCCTTCAGGATGGATTCCCCATTCGAATAAAAGCTGTTAACATAATAAATGAACCTCGTATATTCAAAGGCATTTTTGCAATCATCAAGCCTTTTCTGAAGGAAAAGATAGCAAACCGGGTAAGGATCTGTGTCATTTTAACATTAATCTTGTAAGTTCCTTGCTTGTCCATTGCAGTAAAACGCACTGAAAAACTTCACTGCTAGAAACTCATTGGTGCCACTTATGGATGTAACTGGTCTTTTCTGCTTTAGTTTCTAAAAATATGCCTGTTGGGAAAATTCACAAGAGAAGCTTTGAGGAATTTAATATTGGCATAACATTAATATGGAGCTTTAATACACATGGTATGTATCCAGGATATTAATTCCAGCCCTAGGGTTGGATTATTTTGGCAATAACTCTTTGTTTATGAGATCGTGTTTATGAGGCGGTGTCACAGGAAAGCTGTGTTGCCTCTTCCTTGCTCTTTTCCCTCATGGAAGCATCCTGCGCAGCAAGAGTATTCTCTCTATGGACTGGATGTAGGATGATGCTTTTTCCACACAAGCATAAGTACTTCCAATCCCAGAAAGGGACTTAGTGACAAGCTGAATTTGGAACCCTGGCACAGACTGGCAATTAAGTCTCTCTCGGTGGGATTTAAGCTGCACTAGACTTGGATTTCAAGACCTCTCACTAGTGTGTCTAACTGCACTTGCCCACTGTTGTATGCTGCCACATGATCATAAGGACATCCCTTCTAAAGCTTGCCCTTTAACTCAAAATAAGCTTGTTAGCTGCCTGTTTCAGTAATTTGCTGTAAAATGTTTCATATGCACTATTAAAGCTATCTTCTGTTTTCTTCAGTTTTTTCTTCATGGCTGTGATCTGAATTCCCTTCATCAAAACATTCCTCCAGTGATCCTTCCTGAAGAGTATGGTGGTACTTCAGGGAAGCTGGACATCACCGCATGGAATGAGCTGCTGCTAGCCTCTGAAGAGGACTTTCAGCATGATTTCTCAGAGCTGGTTCTCCCATGTGACAGCTCTCCCCATGACATGCTAGGGAGCGCGGATGCTGATGAAAAGCAATGTGATGATTCTCTTCGAGGCATGAAACCTCAGCTCTATTACTGTTACTAAAAAACCAGTAAAGGGAAGGTTTCCAGCACAGTTAAGATCTGTTCTGATAGGTGATGCTGTGAACTCTGCCTTACCCCTAAACCTGCAGCTTAGTGACAGATCGCTAAGGCACTTTACACTGTAGAACCAAAGGAAGCTGAAGAGGGCACAGTGGGGGCAGGGCAGAGTTCGGGGAGGATAAAGACAAAGAGCACCAGTTATGTAGAATACTTAAGGCTCATCAACCTCCATGTGAATGATGCAAACTGGCCTATTCTTTGTACTGATAAAGGGAAAAAACACCCTAATATTACAGGATGGTAAGCTTGACAGTTTCTTATCCCCTCCCCACACAGGTGAAAAGCGACAATGATGATTTACTAGCTGTGACCATCTGTTCCTTCCCCTTTTGCAATCGCCAATAATCCAAGACAAGAAAATTGCTTTTGAACCCTGCAAAATGTAGTTCTGTCAGTGAAGATTGCTTAAAAACACGAAATTCCAGTTTGTCCTGTCCTTTATCACTTGGTTCAGGTTCTAAGTTGGTATTTCTGAAATATCTCAATGAATATTTGTCTTAAATTAATACAGAGCAAAACTTTCTTACCCAGGAGTATCATTATGGAGATCATCCTTGAAACTTCCTCACAGTAGGAAAAACTGTATCTGGTGGATCAAATACTACAACATTTATGCCAAAGCCTATTATAAACAGAAGCAATCTTCATTTTCAGAAAACAGGAAGCTTTTCAGATTAAGTACTACAGCTTTTGATTAGGTAACAGCTTCAAATAACGACGTTCAGGACCAGATAAGAAAAAGTTATGTCACCTACCTTCCCACATTGTCAGTTGTTCTTTTCTTCAGCTGGTTGTGATGAGGAGTTGGGTAAGTAACTCATACATAGAATTCTAAGGAGGCTTTGTAGCAGTTGGCATATGACGTATAGAAGGCAATACTTTATGTGTGACAGCAAGGTGCTGCTTTAGCTTGTTACTTTGGACATGATTTGAGTTTAAGTCTGCGAAACCAAATGCAGACAGGCTGTTTGAAAGCACATTCTTAAATTTCCTGGTATTGTAGCATTTTGTTCACTGTGCTTGTCGGCTCTTTCGTGGAATGTTACAACTTTGTTTTCAGTTTTGTTGACCTCTTTTGTCTTTGGTTGTCCCATTCCTGTATGAAGTTAAGACTTTAATCATCCCTGTAGTATTTCCTGTAGCTTGTATGCCTGTGCTTCTAGGTCTTTGTCTAGAGACAGAACTAAGATTCCGCTGTCAAATCAGGGTAAGAAAGATACCTATTGTCTAAATAAGCTGTTCCCACTCCCCAAGTTCAGTCTGTTTAATGGTCTTGAATTAGAACTTAACTCTCAGCACACTCTTTGCACATGTTTTTCTGCACTGTAGTAGTGTGGATGGAAAACCTCACTAGGACCAGGAAAGCACACCCTGTTACTTCAAGGTATAGTTCACTATTATTTGGCAAAAAAAAACATCCCCTCTAACTGGAGACTTACTTCTAGAGCACTTTCTCTGGGTGAAATCTTCATTTAGTGCCAAGTGTCATTATAGGTACCAGTTATGTTTCTGTAAACAGAAAACTAAAGTATCTTAAGGATTTCAGACATTCATTTTTCAAAGTGCCAAACTCTGCTTTGAATGTCTGTCTTCGTCTCAGTCCCCCTACAGCACAATTGCACTGCCAAAAAGAGACTCCTCTACCACTATAGTGACTTCCTGATCTGGCAGCAGACCTCATTCTGGAACTAGGGACAAGCAAATGCCATGCTTGTCATCCAGGCATTATAAAAAGAAGATTAGGTTTTGAAAAGGGATAGACCATGAAGCTTGGAACTCATCACTTGAACTGCTTTAGGTTAAATTGGGAAGAGATTAAAAGCATCTGATTTTTCCGAACTTTATGATCCAATTCTTACTCCTCTTTGACAACTATTAACCTGTAGTATGGGGAAAAAAAAACCAAAACCCAACATCACTATTTAAAATAAGGTCAGAGTACTGCTAGCCACTTCCTCATATCTGACCAGAACATGCCGTGTGTTTTGCAGAGATTAATTCAGTTTTGTGCCACCCTAGCAAGACAGTAGCACACAGCACCAGGACTTAAGACAGGCAAGTGGCTGCCCACACTGTTTAACTGACAGAACATAGAGAGTGGTGTTTAGTGCCTCTTAATTCCAGCCACTATGTACAATTAAGAACAAAAGAACAGGATGGACCATTTTCCCTAGAGGTGAAGGCCTGACTGGTATTTGATACTTTCCTTAATTGTGCTGCAGGGTTTGAAGTCGTGGCATTTTGACAGTTAACCTATAGGAACAGCTATTTTGATCCCCTTATGTAACTACCAGAGAGGGAGGCTGAATATTTATATTTCAATTTAGTGTCCTTCAAAAAGAAAACAATCTAGCTGTGTTCAGCAGAAGGCTGAGAAACCTCTACACCCTTTTTGAGGCTTTTATATTCTCGTGCATGCCTTAAATAGTAGGCGAACTAGATCCATCTCTCCCTGCCCTTTTCTCCTCTGCTCACAGAGAAACTAAGAATACAGCATATAATTTAAACATAATAGATAAGGCTACATTATCAATGCTGAAAATAGCTGGTCTTATGCCTCCAGAACTTTTGTTAAAGCTGGCTGCTGGACAGTTGATGTCAGGATGCTTGAACTAAGCCAGGCTTATCTTTATCAAGCATCTAACTGTTACTTCTTAATTTGCTCTTTCTTGGCTTTAGAACTCAGACAGAGTTGCAGTGTCATTGAGCTGTATCACTAACCCCTTCTGAGGTTCATAACCAGTGCTTGGCTTGTCTTGCAGAAAGCACAGCTCTGTCTTATATGCGCCTAACCACTGAGCTGAGAATGTTCTTTGAGCTTTAGCACTTACTAGCAAAGAAATCAGTTTGTTCCCAAAATGTCTCATATCAGTATTTGGAAAATAACCTATTTAAGTATAGAGTCTTTATCTGCAAGTTAATAGATAGGAAAAGCTTACAGGCTGGGGGGCTTTGGTTTGTTTTGGTTTTTTTACAGCACTAAACCAGATCTGTTCTTTATTTCCACTTGAACTAACTTTGTTCCCAGAGGTTATTTGCCTTGCCCAGTACATAAGCCATCCCTGCCAAATCCAACACATAAGGAAAGATACTTGAACTGCACTGGGCAGCCATGGCTTTTGGCATTGAGTGGGACAAAAGGTAGCTGCATACTGTACATAAAAGTACTTGAATTTATACTCCTGCAAATGGGTGTTACAAACCCTGAGGTATTTTCAGGAACTCGGTGAAGTATTGTTTTTTTTGTTAAATCTCATTTTGGCATGAGTTAATCACAGTGTTATTCAAACTAATAATTTTGCCTTCTGTTGTATGTAGGCCTAGAGGTATTGGGTGTTTTAAGTGTACATCTTATTTTGACAAAATTTATTTTTATATTGCATTTTATAAAATGGAGTGGTCAAACCCATGTAATTTTCTGATGCATGACTGGGTGATTAAACACATTGTAACAGCTGCTAATTTGATATTTTAAATGTGCTTGTCTTGTGTCATGTTGGGGTATTTTATCGTGAAAGCCAATAGCAACAAATACTTAGTTCCACACTAAACACACAGTTGCAACCAAGTGTAATTGCCATGGTGTTGTATTAGAAGAAGGTATTCCTTTCTACTGCAGAACTAAATTTAACTTGAAAACTGTACCTGAGCAAACTCCAGGGAATAGGATTTGTCATTGAGAATCACGTGGAAGATGCTGTTTGTTTCAAAAGAAATACATTATGACTCACTATTGCTGCATGGTGAAAACATCCAGTCACATCCAAGTGGACACTGCAGCAGCTATTAGCACTGTATGTAGCATTTTGCATTGGAGATAACTGCTGCTTCTTAATGCTGCTCAACAGAGCTGGGACAGTGTCAGTAGTTAGTCCACTTTTATTTAAAGAAGTTTACAGTGCAAATGCTAGTGCCAATAATCATCATTTCACATACATTATTTTTGTAAGCATATTAGACAAGTGAAATCAATTTGAAGCTCTATTTTTCCACCATAATCAAAGTTGTTTAAGCTCGTTATACACTTACCACTCAATATTTGGCAAACATACTAAAAAAGAACTTACCACAGAAGTTGCCTCTTAGAAAAGGCAAGTTTGTTCTTAAAAGGAATTTGAGTTAACAAATTTTTAGCCTCAAAGTTCTGTTCTTTTTGCGAGGAATAAGGGGTTTTTTTGCCACAACACTGGAAGGTAAGTATAATTTCAATAAACTTTTGTAGTGGAATGTAGAAATCAAGCAGCATAGCTTACACTTCCAGGAACTGAAGCATTGGCATATTAGTGCATTATGCTCAATATAACTGTTCTTTAAAATATATTACTTTGTATTTTAGCTAAATGTTACTTCAATTCAGTAGAAAGGTTGTGGCTATTGGACAGAACAGATACTTTTTGTGCTTTGACAGCAGAGCTATAGTGAATTTTAAAAATGCTGTAATAAGATAACCGTGACTGAAGGTTAAAATAGAAAGATAACTGATAGTAATTTTGATCCTGCATCAAGCATTATGCAATATATAACTTTCTATCCACCTGCATATTAATACCAACGTAAGCAACAGTAACATAGACCGTGTAAATAAAGCAATACATGAACATTTTGGCCTTCAGCATAAAAATCCCCCACTTCCATAAGCTCAGATGGGTGCAGCCACTTAACTGAAGTCCCTATTAGTGAGGACAAGAGGAGCCACTAGGGTCCAGAGATAGAGGAGGAGACAAACCCAGCTGGAGGTTATCTTCATCCACACGGCTGGCCACTTACTTGTCATTGTTTTAAAATCTGCATCAGGGCTAAAAAGTAAAGTCAATTAATAGATAGAGAAGGCACCTTCCATTATTCCTTGCTAGCTCTCATAAGAACCTGAACTCAGGACAGTCATTCAAGACACAATACAAAAGCCTTTGTGGGAGTGTGGCGAGACAACTAAACCATCAAATTCCTCAGGCTCCTTCACAGGTCTGTTATTCTTGGTACCCAGTTTTCAAAATGAACATGCTTGTATATATTGATGTGCTGCTCTTACAAAGAAATTGACACTGGCACAGGGTGCCCAGAGAAGCTGTGGCTGCCCCATCCCTGGCAGTGTTCAAGGCCAGGTTGGACA